TTCTCTCAACCCACCTTGGACTGTAGGTTTGGAAGCTGATTTTAGTTCACTCATGGCAAAAAGAGATGGTGGAATCAGAGGCATTAGCATGGAATTGCTGCAATTCTTCCCTTGGATGGTGAAAAGTATTCCAGTGTTTTTAATTTTTCAATTTGATCCAATCTAGATCTGCAAAATCCTCCCAATTCATGATGAATGTTGACGGAAATGAAAAAGTATAAGGCACGAAATTTGAAGCAAATTGAGATCACTACTTTGAGAAAAGGTTTAAATAAGAACATGAATTTTGTTGCCAACCGGGCTGTGGCCCAATTGGTCAAAAAAAAAAAAAAACATGAATTTTGTTATTTTTTTATTTAAAAATATAAATTTTTTGAGTTTTTAAATAAGATAATAAACTTTCATTGCCTTCTTTTTAAAGATTTGAACTTTGCTAATTTTTTTAATTAAGAACATGAATTTTGTCCTATTTCAATTGAGATTGCCTTTTGTTATATTTTTATTGCCATTTAATAAATTTTTAAACAAAAAGGTGCAAAGTTTATATTTTTATTTAGAGAAAAGTAAAAATTTATTATTTAGTTTAAAATTTTTAAAAATTTCTATCTTTAAATTAAAAAAAAAAAAAAACAAAATTCTTATCTTTATCTTCACATTTTTCTTCACTAATTTGGTTTCAACGGCTTGGAAACTTTGAATTTTTATATATATATATATATAAAAAAATCCATCCAACCAATAATGGGCCTCAAATTAGACGGCGGATCCTTCAATTAAAAACTTTGGCCCAAATAGATACAAGTTAAAAGCCCGAGACCCGGCCCATATAATCGTCACTACGAATTCCGAATCTTCCACGAGGACGAAGCAAGAGCAACGAATCGAGAAATCAGATCGGAAACCTTCCAGAGAGAAGAGAACTTTCCCGATGGCCACTCCCCAACTCTTCTCCTCCTTCAAATACTCCGACAGCCTCACCGTCGTCGGAATCTCCTTCTGCACTGCCGTCGTCTGCGAGGCCATCTCCTGGATCCTCATCTACCGCACCAACTCCTACAAGTCCCTCAAGTCCTCCATCGACAAGGCCGCGAAGAAGCTCGAGACCATGAAAACAGATCAAAACCCTAACAAAATCAACGTCAAGAAATCGAAAACCAAGAAAATCGATCGAGTCGAGACTAGTCTGAAAGAATCCAGCAGAGATTTGTCTCTGTTCAAGTTCAAGTCCGGCGCCGTCGTGGCGCTTGTTCTTATAGTGGTTTTTGGATTGTTGAACTCGCTCTTTGAGGGGAAGGTTGTGGCGAAGTTGCCGTTTAAGCCTGTGGGGATCGTGATGAAGATGAGTCATAGAGGGTTGCAGGGGGATGATTCGACTGATTGTTCCATGGTGTTTTTGTACTTCTTGTGTTCGATTAGTATAAGGACTAATTTACAGAAGTTTTTGGGGTTTTCGCCGCCGAGGGGAGCTGCCGGTGCTGGATTGTTCCCGATGCCGGATCCCAAGACCAGTTGATTTGCTAGTTTGATCCCCTGAGGCTGTGGTTGATCTTCGGGAGGAGTTTTAAGGAGTTGGGTATGTGACAGATTTTAGTTTTGTTTTTATAAAAGGCAGTGTATCTGTTATTTGATATTTGATGCCTTGAAATGGGTAGCATCTGAATTTGTTTCTTGGTTTTTTTCTCTTTTTTTTACTGAATTGGTGATATTGATTCTATGTTTGGTTGATTTTAGTGTTAGCCATCAGAATGATTTGGTTTCTGTCAATGTTACGTAGAATAAGATTGTAGGAATTGAATCCTCTGCATCTGAGATTAATGAGTTTTCTATGAATGGTGAACGCTATGGAGCATTAATTTTAGCTGATTAAATGGATTGATTATGAGAGGATTAGTCAAGTTGCGTTAAGATTGGGACTTAGTGGTTTCAATGTAATAGCTTATCCACGATTCCCGATCTCTTGTAATTTTCTATGTGGTAAGTTCTATGATGTTTATGAGTAAGACCTACAAGCTTGAGAATGTCCTGTTTGAGGCATTTTGGATTGAGGATTGTGCTGGAATGACTTTAGTATCCGTCATCAGGTCCTCCGTATTTCTGCATTCTTACTTGGACATTGAATCTCATAGCTTTTGCTATTTTGATTGTATGGCTCTTTGCATTTATGGCACCTGCTCTTTCTTACATATCCATACTATTTAAGCATCATAGAGTCTAGCTCCCTCTAACCTCAGTAGCCATATAGGTTGACCTCAACCTTTCTAGATATTTTTTTGTTTCTTTTTGTATTCTATTAGTAGACATGAAATACTTCAAACCTTCTTACCTTGAAATTCGACTGGATCATGAAGGTAAGAGTAACTCTATGTAAATGGATTTGTATTGTCCTTTCTAAAATATAATTCAGTTTTTAACATAGGGTGATAACAATCTTGAACTGATCTTGTGAGAAGCAAGTATAGCCTTGGCTATGAAAGCATCTTTGAAGGCTTAAAATAGCTAAATAGGGTTTTCATTTGGCATGGAAATTCTGCCTTTTAACTATACTTCATACTGCTCTCATGGCTTTTATAATGTGCTGTAATGCACAAATAGTCAAAAATCTAGCCTTCTTTTCAAATGGATTAAATAATAGGATTGGTTGTAGAAGGGTAGTAGGGAAAATAAAAGATATGTTGTTACTTCGCATAAGATTAAGTTCCCTTAGGAGTCTTTAGAAGTGTAGGTTTCTTATCTCCTTTTCTTTATCTGCTAGTGACAGTGAGCTATTAGTAAATAATTTGCTTTTAGTCGTTTTGGAAACAAAATGAAGGAATGGTTTAAGAATCTTTATAAATACTATACACCCCCAAAGAGTTATTTTATGTTCTTTCACCTATCTTAGTTCTTCTTCTTCATTTTATCTGGCATTGTTTCAAGCAACTATTATCCTCATATCCAACCATAATTTGTCCTTCATTTTGCTCTCAGATTAAATCGTAGCATTATTCTGTCTTAGGTCAGGGTTGGCATGTTCATTTAGATAAATGACCTTTGTTTTTCTAAATCTATGGCTGGGAACCGATGTGGTATCTGTCATTGGAATGTATTCCTATATCCAAATTTTGATCCAAAGGTTGGTAGTTTGAGTGCTGGTGTACAGAACTGGTTCATCCATAGAAAGAACACGCAGGCATAGGGGTAGGGGTGGGGGTCAAAGCTTGGGGGACGTATCTGTATTGTTTCGTAGCATATGCAGTGCAGGCGCATTTTGTTATTTATGTACATCTCCTTTACCCATGGATCAGGGGGGAAAAAAAAAAACTGAACAATTTTTAGACATTTGATTGCATTTTACGTGATGCTGATTTGGATGAGGCTAATATTCTGAGGAAACCTCTGTTGAATTGGACACAGATGATATTGAAAATTGATTGTGGAAACTGGAAAGCATTCCCTTTGGCACCTCAGTGAATGTCTCTAGTAGCTGCTTCATCTATGTTCTCTTTAACATGAATTAATGAAAGGGATTTTTAAGAGTTTAGATTAAGTCTCAACATGAATTAATGAAAGGGATTTTTTAAGAGTTTAGATTAAATCTCATTAATTATGATATTTT